TTGCAAAATCTCCGTAGTCACGAACCTCATGTCGTTAAAAAGGAACTCCGTAAACTGCACCTACGGTGGTATCATGCGAAGCAACCCAAGATGAGGCTAATCCTAGACAAAGTGGGACTGGACAACGTTCGACTGAATATGATCAAAGAAATTTGTGACACCTGTCGGGAATGTAGAGCATGGGAACGTCCAGGAAACTCAACACTACCTTCTGTAGGCCTTCCTTGACATTGGCTCGATGAAGGTGAAATGGATCTCATGTTTCACAAGAAACGAACCATATTTCACATTATGGACCGTTGTATTCGCCTTGCAGCAGGCCAAGGGACTTCCGACAGATAACGCGACACTATACTCGACGCCTACCACTATTGCTGGATTGCCTATCATGGACCCTTCAAAGTCTTGTACTCAGACGGAGGAGGCGCCCTGAACAATGACACTGCCAAGGCCATGATGGCGAACAAGGGTGCAACACTCCGTATCCGAGCGCCTGGCCAACACGCAACTTCGATCGAGTCACGTAACGGTATTCTCAGGGGCGTTCTCCACATGATTGAGGAAGAGCTGAACAGACACAACATCCCTGTTGTATTTACTAGAGTACTGGCTGAAGGCATCTTCGTCACTAACGCCTTCACGTTTTACAACGGAGTATCGCCATGCCAAGCACACACTGGACGACAGCCCTCCTTTCTTCCTGGCCTCGACACCCCTGACTTTCCTGAGGGGCCCGAGACGCCAGGTCACGAACGAGAACGTCGTGTGAGGGAAGTTCGCCTAGAAACAATAACTCAAGCCACGGCTGTGGCCAAGACAAATCGTGCTCTCAGGGCTAAAACGGCTCCAGATGGTGCTCGCCTTTATTCAGCAGGGGATCTGGTCGACTACCATCGACCTACTGCCACTAAGGACGATCATGGAGGCTGGAATGGCCCATTTCCTGTGATCCGTAACGTGCCTGAAAGAGGACACATCGTCGTCAAGGCAGGATCTCGTGAGGTAGTTGTAATGTATCCTGATGCTCGTCACACGCTATTCATTGAATGCCTCCTTGCACGGGAACTTGGCATGGACAACATGGCCATGCAAACCGTCCTTACATATGTGGCACACCTTGGCGCAGGGAAACCTGCCAAAGTCTTCGGCTACATTCCAGACTATAAGGGAAACCTCCATCTTTCAGACGACAGCAAGTTTCACCCGCGCGTACATCTTGCACTACAGTATCTCGTGCGAAATTATTTCCGAGTTGAACATGTAGTAGCAGTTAGATTTGCCAAGAGTGTGTCCTACCTATCTGCAGGAAAGTACGCCACCGGGTCTACGCTGATCCACTACGATAACGACGTCAACCCAGCCTTCCACTATTATGAGTGCGTGGGCGCTGGCCTGAACATTTTTCAAATCACTGGTAGCACTCACTCCAGACTCATCCAATGCTTGACGTCACATGTTCCTTCCTCAGGATTTCATGACGACCTGGCCAAGTATCAGCACTCGGGCACTACGTCTGGAGAACACGACCCGCCTGGAAACAGGCCTCCACCAGACACCCCAGGTGCTTCATCACCAAGTGAAGGCCGTCTGTCTACAATCTACGAAGAAAACGAGGAACATGACATAGAAACCATGATGCTGGAGGAGTGGTACGATGAGTTACGTATGGACCTTCATCCCACAACGATCACCGACGATCATCTTTACTGCGTCCCAACAACGATGCTGCCCGACCAATGTGTTCTGGTTTCAGCATCCGTGGACGAAGAAGATATCGTAGTGTCGGAAACGCTCGGAGACGAGCCTGAACCACAAGAGCCCTGTCTTGTCTCTCTATGCTCAACTACACCTGATGAGGGTTATTCTCTTGACAGTGATGAACATGGTCCTTATGTTGAGTTATGTTTTACACCAGAAATGTCGAAGGTAGTGTTGGATCAGACTCAACTTGCACAGCTCGACACTGGTATGGTCGCAACGATGAGAGTATACGTACCCTCGGCTGCTAAACGTGTTGTCGTAGTTAAGGAAGACGACCTACTCACCAAAGCCGACATAGCAGCACACCCTAAAGAGGTTAGTGAAGCTTTGTACACCGAACTCAAGATCTGGCTTGATAACCGGTGCTTTGAGATGTATGACCTATCTAGAGCTTCCAACATCATGACATCCAGATATGTATATAAGTGGAAGTTTGTGAAGGTAGGTACCGAGAACGTTAAAACCATCCGTCTCGGACTTGTCCTTCGTGGATTTATGGACACTGAGGCGTTCGATGTGGAAACCTTCTTAGGAACTGCTCGAAGGCAGTCCCAGAGGCCCCTGGCAAGGGAGGCGGCATGCCATCCAGAGTGGATCTTAGCATCCATGGATATCGACAAAGCGTTCCTCAAGGGTTTGACCTATGAGGAACTTGCTCATGCCACCGGCGAGGAAACTCGCATGGTTTGCTTCGCTCTTCCACCAGGAAGCGCCCAGGTACTTCGTACACTGCCCGGCTTCTCGCCCTACGATGAAAGCTTACACTGCCTCAGGTGCCTCAAGCCAGGGACGGGTGCAAAGGACGCCCCAAGAGCGTTCCCCCTCAAGCTTCGTGCGACCACACGAGCTATTGGCCTTGCACCGACAAGTTATGATCCTGAGTTTGAATTCAGTCAAGCTGTTAACAGCAAAACATGTCGACGACATCAATATGACAGGCCTAGAGAAAAATATAGACGACTATGTACAACGTGTCGAAAAGGTGTTTGGTAAATGCAAGCTTAACAAACATTCCTATACGGACTGCGCCGTTCGCTACACCAAGAATGACCAAGGGGATGTAATCATGGATCAGGACGAGCACATTAAACAACTACGTCCTATCACACACCCCGAACTCGCAGGAGCGGCGGCCGACGCCAAAGCCACCAAACTCATCACCGACACGTTTGTCAGCCTGCGAGGAGTCCTCGCCTATGCCCTTCTTACTCAAGTATGGCTGATGGTGTATGTGGTCTTTCTTCAGAAAATCCAAGAGCCCACCGACCTACAAGCCAGACGACTGAATGCTGTGACGCGAAAGCTGATCAGCAGCCCGAAACGCATCACCTGCCCTCGGATGAAACCGACGAACGAAGTTGACATACACAGTGATTCGAGGCATCGGAAGCTCACCGGGGAGGAGGACGATGAGACCAAGGGCTACGGCATACGCGGGGCCAACGTACTACGGCGAGGAAACTCGCCTCAAGGCAAACCCGCCATTCACCTTTGTGACGGACTATGTAAATCACATCGACTGCAGGTGAGGTCCAGCTATGCCGCTGAGGCACTTGCAGCTACACACAACCTTGATGAGTGCTACCCTACGCTCATCACTCTCCACGAGCTCAAGGCAGGGGCTCTGACTCCACGACAACTACGAGATATGCGCGAAGTTGGAGGCCTAGCTATTAATGTATCCCTTACCATAGACGCTGAGTCTGTATATGTATACACATCGTTATCCAGCAAAGATCTTAAGATACCGACGGAACGGACTTTGCTGGGACATATCAGCTGGATACGTGAGCTCATGGATATAGGTATAGTGCATAATGTGCAGTGGTGTGATACTAGAGATATGACCGCAGATGGGCATACAAAGGGGAGTATCGATCAGGAACTGCTTTTGGAAGTGATGTCAGGCAATCAGTCATTTAAGTATGACGTGAAGCAGTTTGTTCCTTTTCGGGGTCCCGAGGACAGAAACAAGCCTGAGTCGAATCAGTTTTAGTCTGTCCTTGTTGCCCCCCGCGGTCCAGTTTGCCAGCATGGGCGCCTAATACAGAGGCGCTCTTCTAGGTGCTCGGAAACGAGCCTTCCATTTCACGCTTGGTAACGAGCCTGTTCAGCTTGATTCAGGCTCTTTGCCTTAATACCCGTTTGTTCGGAGAGGTATAGCCTGTTTGGCTTACCTCTAGCCGGGCCGATAGCCAATTGGTAGCTCTTGGGGAGATGGTTTATAGAATCGGGAGTATAGCTCGCGCGCCGTTGCCTTTGGCTCAAGGCACGCGCGCCCTATTTGCCCGGACACTGCGAGTGTTCGCAATGTGCTGGAAAGATCATTACATTGATCTTATCCTATCTTATCCGTCCATTCCTCTTACTGAACAACCTCAGTACGATACCGGACGCTATTTGCCATCCGCTTCCCATGGAATCGGATGCTATTTGACTTACCATGGTCACTTCCGACTCCTGAGAGTCCAAAAAAGGTGTTCAAGAGAGCCCCAAGAGGGCCACAGGAGGCGCCAGGACGGCCCAAGCCCCCCAAAGCGGCCCAAGAGGGCCCCAGGACAGCCCAAGAAGGCCCATAAGACGGCCCAGCGGAGCCCCAAAAGGACTCCCAGGAAGGCCTGTATATGCAACACCAATTGATTTTCGCAAGGCTTGTTGCTACATTTTTGTATGTCGCACCAAAGCCTTCACACCAGCAGTGCTCCAAGATTCTGAGCCAGCGACCACGCGCCCTCACAAAATACACGCGCTTTCCGTCCCCGTGCCAAGCAAGTCGAATGTCCTTGGGCACGTCCCGCCGCCGTGCGTGGGTTGTGAAACACAGGCCTCTTGAATGCTCGTTGGGATGTCGCGATCGGCCTTTTCGGGTGCCTCCTGGGGGCCTCTTGGGGGCCTCTTGGCGCCTGCTTGGGCCTCCTTGGACCTCCTGGCGGCCTCTTGAGGTGGAGACTCGGATTTTCCATTCGTGTTCCCCCTCTCTTTGGCCCTTCTTACGAAAAATCACGCGACAAGACGCGGCTCGCCACATGAAATTTGGCAATTTTCGGTCCTGGTCCCTCACAGAAGCCTCGGGATTGACGACTGACGCTTAAAGGACTAGGCAACGGACCTGGGGGCACTCAATTTCGTGCCACAGGGACACGCTGGCGAACGAATCATTTCAGCCTTTCAGCAAAATGTCCACAATCACGCGTCAGTTAGTGCAGATTTCGTTCACGTAGCCCACGGGCCAGCCCTAGTCATCAGCTACAGCGCTGGGATCAGCGCGTGCGAGAAGGGCAAGCAGTGGCAGCGCGCCTTGTCGCTGCTCAGCGAGATGCGTGAGGCGAACTTGGAGCCCGGCGTCATGTCTCCTGCGCGGCCGGAAAAACACGTGTCATAAATTTGCCGGACCCAATCGACTACTCGTAAGAGTGACCTCTCGCCGGAGTGACCGTTGGTGCGGACCCCCTGGAGTCTTCCGATCGCCGAACGCGAGGCGGCAGTGGCGTCTTGCGCGCTCGTGCTTGGCCCCCCCGCGGCCCCCGAAGAGCCGCGCACCAAAGGCCACTCGTGCCCAGGGCCACTCCTGCGCGTAGCTCCATGCCTGCCCAGGACGCACGACATGCCCACGACGGCCCACGCGGCCCCTAGGACAACCCACAGCCTGCCCAAAATGGCCCGCAGGAACCTCCGCACGCCCCAGTGGAGGGCCCCTCTGGGCCCCAGAGGGTCCCTGCAGGGTCCAGATGACGTCCCCAGTCGGCGGGAGTTAACGATGGCCCCGTGGCGCTCGACACGCTGATCGCCTCCCTGAGCGTCACGCCCGACCTCACGGCGCAGGCCTTCGAGTTTGACGATGACGACGTCGACGACGACGACGACGACGACGAGGAGGAGGAGGAGGAGGAGGAGGAGGAGGATGGCGACGACGACGAAGACGAGGACGACAACGACGGCAAGGACAGCTGCACAAGACGGTATACCAACATCTGAGACCACCTTCAGCCCCAGGCCTGGTTTGCATTCTTACCTTCGAGTGGGGCCCCAGGAGGCTGCGACATCCGCAGAAACCGTACAGCCAGTTTTAGGGTTCGTCTCTGGAGAGCCGCAGCCGCCCAGACCATGCGCACGGAAAACAAACACACGCGCATGGGTAACAACTCCAGTGCCTCTTCGCCCAATGCTAACAGCGTCAACGACGACGACGACGACGACGACGACGGATGCGATGACGACGACAGCGGCGGTGACGACGACAACGCCCTCGACGAAGACGACGACTCGACCTCAACGACCATGGTTGCGACGACGATGACTACCCCCACGACGCGGGCCACCTTGTCTGCGAAGTTCTGCCGAGACACAACAACATAACTTACATGCTAGGACGCATTCTCCACAGCCCTCTCACCAGACGCAGTTAACGTCGCCACCGACGACGACAACGACGACGACGGAGGAACGGACAGGTGCTGCTATTAAGAGGTTGCCAACTCCTCAGACTCCCTCCGGCTTCAGGCCTTGTTTGCATCCTTACCTTCGGTTGTGGCCCCAGGAGGCTACAACTTCCACGGGAACTGCACAGCCAGTTTGAGGGCTTCCGGAGAGCCGCAGCTGCGTTGGGGTTTAGTTTTTGGTGCCTCTTCGCCGAACGCAAACAGCGACAACGACGACGACGACGGCGACGTTGCCGACGACGACGACGACAACAGCGGCGACGACGACGAGCTCGACGAAGACAACGGCCCGTCGATAATGACCATGACGGCCACGACGACGACGACGACGACGAAGACGACGACGACGACGACGACGACGACGACGACGACGACGACGACGACGACGACGAACACGAGGGCGTCGGCGGCGGCGACTCGCACGGCGGCAACGTCATCTTGAAGGCCTGTCGGCTACATCTCCGCCCAGACCCCGCCAAGCTTTCGTGGACGTAGTCCACGGGTTCCCCCCAGTCAGCTACAATGCTGGTGTCAGCGCGTGCGAGAAAGGCGATCGGTGGCAGTCCGCCCTGGCGCTGCTGAGCGAGATGCGGGAGGCCATGTTGGAGCCGAACGTCATCTATATGACGATACCGCGATCAGCGCGTGCGAGTGCGGCCGGCAGTCCAGTGGCTCCTGGAGCTCCCAGGGCGGCCTCACGCGGTCGCTGGCTATTCTGGGGCGGCCCTGGATGGCCACACGAAGGCTGCCAGGCGGTCTAAGACGGCTCAGAGGCGCTCAACAGGGCGCGCACGGCCCAAGAGGACCCCAAGCGAGCCCCGCGCACGGCCCAAGAGGACCCCAGGCGAGCCCCAAGACGGCCCAAGAGGTCCGAAACCAAACCCGGAAGCTCCCGAGACGGCCCAAAGTGACCCCGACGATTGCACAAAGGGGGCCCAAGTCATCGATGTTCCTGAAAGTTTGAAGGGTTTTCATGTTCTAGTTTCGGCCCAAGGATGGCCCCAGACGGCTCCAGGGCCTTCCCAGATCGCGCTCACACCGCCCAAGAGTCACCGAAAAGGGCCCCAGAACGGGCCAAGAAGGCCCCAAGATGGCCGACGAGAGCCCCAGGACGGCCCACCAGAGTCTCGAATGCCCCCCAAAACAGTTTCGATAGGGCCCCAAGACCTGCCCAGAGGGGCCCAAAAAAGGAGCTCCAAGCTCCCAACATGGCTCCAAGACGGCCCAAGAGCCCCCCAAGACGGACCAAGGCAGGCCCAACATTGCCATCGACAATCGGCCACTGCCACGCTCTGGCGCACTTCAATGAGGATGGCGAGTGCACCATCAGCAGCACCGCCTACGAGCAGAAGGGGCGGTTCCCGCCCTTGCTGCCGCCGCTGCCGCGACTGTTGCCGCCATTTCCCATCGCCGCTGCAGCTCGTTCTCATACAGCACCCTCGTTTTGCTCGCGTCGCCCTGCTCCACGCCAGAGGCTTTCACTGCTTCGGTCCTCTCGTGTTCTTCGGAATCCCTCGGGAACCCGATGCTTCCCCGCGCGCCACACAGATCGTTCCCAAAGGATTCTAACATGCTGCTCTTGCTCATCGGTGGGGTTCCGACCGCGCCGTTCACACGGGCCTCCCGGGACGCCGCCGTCAGAAAATCACCAACAGCCCCATGCATTTCATGCCACCTCACAGGACACGCGAGGAAGTTTTCGGGTTCTGCTTGGCCGCGCAAGCATTGGGGCCTCCCCCAGGCTGCCAGGCTGTTCTCTTTTTCACCATATTTTTTTGTCCTGCTCATCATTCCCGATCTCTTCGATCTCATCTTCCCCCCCGTCCTCCATCAACTCCCTCCCTCTTGGACGCTTCCCCGAGATCTGGCACTTGGACGAGCTGTTCGGCTTCGACGAGCTGTTCCATGGATTACAGTCGGGGCCCTGAAGAAGGAACCCTTTTCGTTGGGGAGGGGCTCCGTGTTCCTTGATTGTTTCGCAGCTTGCCTTAGGTTTTCCTTAGGTTTTCGATGGGAAATCGAACTTTAACTGATGGGAAAAAGGGGCCTCGTTCCTTATTTAGAGCGTTCCTTAGGTCAACGCCCCCACTGTACATCCACGGCTTGCGAGTCCCAGGTTCGACACGCCGTAGATTTTACCCACGAGTAGACACCAGTCAGCTACAGCGCTGGGATCAGCGCGTGCGAGAAGGGCAGGCAGTGGCAGCGGGCCCTGGCGTTGCTGAGCGAGATGCAGGAGGCGAAGCTCGAGCCCAACGCCATCAGCTACACCGCCGGGATCAGCGCGTGCGAGAAGGGCAGGCAGTGGCAGCGGGCGCGGGCGCTGCTGAGCGAGATGCGGGAGGCGAAGCTGGAGCCCGAGGTCATCGACTACTGCGCTGGGATCAGCGCGTGCGAGAAGGGCGAACAGTGGCAGCCGGTGCTGGCGCTGCTGAGCGAGATGGCCATCTCGCCCGGCGCCATCTCTCCTATAATGGCCGACTCAGCGCGTAGGAAGAAACCCGGAGTGGCAGCGAACCGGCTCCTCTGGGCCCCCTTCTGGGCTCCTCCAGGGGGACTCTCGGGACCATCCGGGCCGCCTCGGAGTCTGCGGAGTGCCCCGATGGCTCAGCGGACGGTCCCACGCTCCCGAAAATCGGCTTCGCTCGCTTTGGAGACGGCCTCAAGGCGGCCAAAGGCGGCCAAAAATCCCCGCAAACCGCCCCAAGAGGCCCCCGCGAGGGGCCCCACGAGGCAAACATCGTCTGATTCCGGTAGGAGAATGTACATTTTCGGCTCACTCGCGTTTTGGGTGTGCACAGCGTCCAGGACGGCCCCGCATCCCTGCAAGTCCGCCCCAACACGGACCCAGACACCCCCAAGACGGCCTCAGGCCGGCTCAAGACAGCCCGAAGACGGCCCCCGAGAGCGCCAAGACGGCCCAGGAGAGGCCCTGGAGAGCCCAAAGAGGCTCCTAAGAGAGCCCCGAGAGGGCCGGAAGAGGTTTCCGAGAAAGCTTGCGAGGGCTTCTAGGGAACGCCGAGGCGGCCGAAGTGCCTCAAGACGGCTCCGGGGCCCTCCAGGACGGCTCCGGCGCGCTTCACGAAAGACCAAAAAGGACTTCCAAAATAGCCTCAGGCGGGCCACACGGGACGCCGTCAAGACAGCCATGGACGCCCCAAGCAGCCCCGATTACGAAAAGCTCCCCGCTGGAGACATTGCCTTCTTCCCTCTGGCAGGCCCCTCTTGCAGGCCCGGGGTCGGTGTGGTCGGGGTCGTCGTGGTCGGCGCCTTGTCGCCGTCGTCGTTAGAGGCCATTTCTTTATTGCTTGGGGCATGACGGGCGTCATGGCCCCCGCTCCCCTCCCCCATATGACGTAACGCTCTCCCCCAGTGCGCTCCGGGCACTGCCGCCGTGCGCATTGGGATCCGCGTAGGAATCCGCATAGGTGTCTGGTCCGCAGGCGTCGTCGTCGTCGTCGTCGTCGTCGTCGTCGTCGTCGTCGTCGTCGTCGTTCGTCGTTCGTCGTCGTCGCTCGTGGTTCTTGTCTCGTCGCTCATCGTCGTCGTGCGCGCGGACGCGGCTGGAGCCTGTTTTTAAGTCCGGGCCGATCACGGCAATCATCCAATCATCTAGGGGGGAGGGGGTCCAAGACGTCACGTTTCGCGCCGGCGGCGTTTGGGAATGGTTAGGAACGACGGAGGACGGGTAGCACGAACATGTAGGTGGCGATATACAACACAACGCCTATGTACATCGCAGTGCCCGCGTGCACCACAGCGCCTGTGTACACCCACCACACCGCCGATGTACACCACAGCGGCCGCGTGCAACACAGCGTCGGTTTGTGCCACCGTGCCTGCGAGCACAGCAGCTCCTGTGTACACCAAAGCGCCTCCGTACACCACATCAGCCGTGCGCAACACAGCAGCAGTGTACACCACAATGCCTGCGTGCATTGCAGTGCCTGTGTACGCCACGGCGCCTGTGTGCACCACATCAGCCGTGTGCAACACAGCGCCATTGTTGTATATAATTTCAAAATGACTCCTTGCGACAAAATGGAGCGCGTGTGGATTCCAGAGAAAACAAGGGAAAACAAATTCTCATGGACAAAGGAGCGCCGCTGGAATCGACGAGTCCCCACGAGTCCGCCCGCATCACCCGAACTCCCATTTGCGTCCAGGAGGCTCCAGCTAAACTGGCCGTCCGAGAACCAAGTGGACCGATTCAATCGACCATTTTGCGGTGCACGCTGAGATGCGCACGTGCGTTGTAAAGCCAAGCCGCACGACAGGGGGTAAGAAGGAGGAAAAAGAGGACGCGGAGGAGGAGGAGGAGGAGGTGGGAGGGTCTGGGGGGGTCTCGGGGGCCTCTTGGGGGGGCTCGTGGGGCCCACTGAGGGGGTTGCGTCCCATGGCCCGTCTGGGGCCGTCTTGTTGCTCGCACGCCCCCCGCTTCCTTCCCGCTCCCTCCTCCCCCCGAACTCTGGTCGAAACAACTGCGGCGTGAGGTGTGTCTCGTCTCTCACTGCACCAATCCGTCTGAATGAAGCTCTCCAGGGCCCAGGGCGCACTGTGCTCCATGCCTGCTGGACTCCGCATGGGCGGAATCGAAAAGTCGTTTTGTTCATAGCTTCTACGCTTATGCCGCACTATGTCGTGCTCTCAAGGTGATGGTTGCCCATGGGGTCAGCATGTTGTGGGACATTTACGACAGAGAGAACGAGAGGGATTATGGTTCAAATCCGTGCCAGCATATAAATGTGACGCGCAGAAGCTGCGAATCATCTGGCCTCCAGGGGGCCAGATGATTCTGAAGGGTTGTTTGCGTTTGATTATGAAGGTGATGAACTGTCGGAGCTTTCGTCATAACGTTTATTCAGAAAGGTTGTGGTCGCCAACTTCCAGGGAGCATCCCATCATGTCAGGCCCAAGAGCAATAATTCATAGTCTCAGGCTTTCTTACATGATAGTCTGAGGTTGCATGATGCACCCGCTGGGCTGCGCAATCTGCGTGTTTTTGAACACAGACATGTCGGAACACTTGTTCAATGGCATACAGTAAACATCGGCATTAAGGTTGCGCTTGCGTCACAGAGGTACCCTTGCTTCCTTCGGTCCTGGCAGTCCTTAGCACGGTCCAAGGGTGCCCCTGCGGTCGGCGTGTTCCAAGGGCCTTGCATCCTCGCGTAAACCTTATCCTTACTGCTGATTTGGACTTCGTGGCTCTGTCGCAGAGTCCGCGGGCTGTCAGGATACCACTCCGCCACTCAGCGATCGATCGGGAGGCCTTGTGTGCACGTGTGTTCCTTTACCGTCTTGAAGAAGTAGTGCAACTCGGCTCAAAGTCCGTCTCCGGACCCATCCCGGGATCCATCCGACGCAATTTTTCACCCCGGGTCCGTTTCCAAGGGCCCCGGGGCCCGAAACGGGCCCCCGGGGGCGACATTTGCGAAAAAATTGCATTGTTTTTTCGGGGCAGTGTATGTGCATGCGTGTTTCTATGCATATACACATACACAGCCCCCCTTCATCGCGGCCCCGCTTTGACCCCCACCCCTGCCACACCCGGGGGCCCGGAGAGGACCACCGACGCGAGACCGACGCCGACATCGTCGACGACGCCGACGACATCGACGCCGACGACGACGACGCCGTCGCCGTCGTCCTCGACGTCGTCGTCGACGCACGTTGGGGACTCGGCGCCGATCTCTCGGAACCCACGTTGTGCCGCCGTTGTCGCCATCGTCGTCGCCGCCGCAGCTGGCGCCGCCGCTTCCCAGGCCTCCGGCGCCTGCGGAGGTCATTTTTTTTTTTTTTTTTTTTTTTTTTTTTTTTTTTTTTTTTTTTTTTTTAGGTTTTTCAGTGTTGAGGGGTTCCGAAGGGCTTTCAACGGGCTCCGGATCCTTCAAAAATCATCTCAGGACGGAAAGCGGGCCCAGGGGGAGTTCCCCAGATTTCCGGGGACGAAAAACCGAGCGTCATCCCCGCGTGTCCTTCCAAATCGTCGAAAACCCGGTGCAAAATGCGTGCATCCACCTCGATGGTGCCCCGACCGCACCCCCTCGACGAGCATCCCACGACGGCGCCTTCGGGAAAATGCTACAAAACCATCGGGTTCCACAGCGTTTCGAGGGGCACGGGGAAATTCTTCGGGTTTCCGACACTTCGTCCCCGGCCGCGCAGGCTGCTCAGGGCTTCTCCTGGTCACTGCGCAGTCACTCATTCCTCTGCTCCTCCATTTCACCTCCGCCCTCCTCCCATTTTTCTCGACCACCTTCCGCCCCTCTTCGCTCCGGTAGATTCCTTCTCGCCGACGCACCCTCACCTTCCGAAGCCTTTTTTGGCGACAGAGTTATACAGGACCGCGTCCCAGGCCAGAATGGTAGGCGCCACTAAACGGCATGCGTGCTCAGTTCTGCACTGCGGCTCTCGCGCGCGCGGCCTTGACCCCGCCGACCACGCGCGCCCGCAGTGCAAGGAGCACGGGGGCGAAGACGCGGACGCGTCGGCCAGACTTGTGGGCCTTCGCCAAGGGGTTCGCGACGCTCACGAAGAACACGTGCACCAGGTTGCCGCCCTCGCTGCCTTCGTGAACGCTTCGGCGATCAGCACGGTGGAAAAGATCCACGGCCAAGGAACAGCGAACGCTCTGTTCGACAAGGTGGCTTCAGACCCCGAAGTGCTGAAGTTCTTACAACACGGCGATTGGGTGGAACACGCGAGAGGCGAAGCGAACTTCGCTTGCAATGCGACCGACTTGTACCTCAGGGACTTTTTTCTCGACGCCCAGCTTCCTGAGCAGCTCTTGCACTTGTTCCTCGCACGAGTACACTTCAACGCGGACGGAGCTAGCAAAACGCTGTTCTCCGACTACGAGCGGTTGTCTGGGCACCCCTTGGCCGAGGGAAGGACATCCAGTCAGACGCACTTCCTCGAAGTTGCCCAGCCACGCGCCATCCCAAGCCACTGCCCACACTACAAGTTGCAGTTGTGCAACGACGAGCACAACCGACAGCTCACGAACGGCGCGTTCGACGACGCGCACGACGCGAAAAAGCACGGCGTGCAGTTGCGCGTCTTGGCGGGGTGGCTCGCTGAGCTGCTTCGGTTGCGAGCCCCCACCAAAACGGCGGTCGCCATCATGGCCAGCACCTGTGTGGACAAAGCGCTGCGGACGAAGCTTTTCGTTAGCACGGAGCGGCGCCGCATGCTGATCTCGCGCGATCTGGCTGCCGTGAACCCTGACGCGGCCCTGCGCGGCAGCTTCCCCCTGTCTACTAACACCTACGTGGGGGGCGGCGCGAAGGAGGTTCTCGAGCGGCGCGCGGCCTCTGGCGCCGACTGGTCGGACCAGCTCGTCGCAGTCCACGAGAGCCCGACGCCGCTGCCGTTCGGCGTCGACATATATTGCCCACGGCGCACCGTGAGCCAGACCGAGGACCAATTGTGCGAACTCCGCCGGTGGGGCATTCATTGGGGCCTCGAAGCCACAGGGGAGTTCTCCCACGGGGTGAGTTAATGATGCCCCCTCGGGCCCGACCGTCATGCGCGGCCTATTCCTCCCTACGGGCCCGGTCCTGTCCCCGTCCTCGGGCGCGTCTTCTGGCCGCGTCCAAGGAGGTTTTCTTTCCCTGGTGCCGTGTCCGCGGTCACGGTGTACACATTTTTGGCATTGCCCGGTAGCCCCGCGGATTCCCGCGCCCCGAAAAGCGGGGGGCGCGGGAGAAGAAGCAGCGCGGGCGGTTGCGCGAGCACGGCGCGCGCGCCGTCGACGCGCAGAGAACCCGCCGCCCCCCGCTTCAGAGGCGCCGGCGGGCGGGTGTCAAGTTAAGAAGAAACCCAGCTCGCCAGACTGCCCGCCCAGCGCCGGCGTCGCGAAGGCGAGGGCGTTGCTCCTGAGGTGAAACGCCCGGCCTGCACTTGGCGCCCCGCGTTTCTATCCCCCTCCCCCCCCTCCCAGGTCCCTCGCCATATTCCCCCCCCATCGCTTCCCCTCCCGTTGCCAGGCGCCGCTTCCACCCCCGTCTCCTCTCTCTCTCTCTCTCTCTCTCTCTCTTTTTGTCTCTCTCTCTCTCTCTCTTATTCTTTCTCTCTCTCTCTCTCGCTCTCTCTCTCTCTCGCTCTCTCTCTCTCTCTCTCTCTCTCCCTTTCTCTTTCTCTCTCTATCTCAATATCTCTCTATGTGTATGTGCATGTTATATATATTTATATGTATATCAATATATATATATATATACATATATATCCCTATAGCGTACAGTAATACAACCGATTACATATATATATATATATATATATATGTGTACATATGTGTATATACATATATATATCCCTGCCTGCATCCCACCTTCACGTTCTCTCTCTCTCTCTCTATATATATATCTTTCTGTCATTCACATGTACATGCTCTCTCTCTCTCTCGTTCTCTCTTTCTTATTTGTCTCTCTCTCTCTCCCCCTCTTCTACTTTCAATCTGAAGGCAGGGCCGCGGGCTGGCTCCCCGGTTCGGGCCGGGGCGCCCGGCCAGCTGCCTCGGAGGGCGCCGAGACTTTCGCGCTCTCGTTCGGGAGAACGGGCAGGGGCAAAAGGCGCCCCTGCATTTACTGATCCTGCAATGTCGGCGGGTTTGATTTGCATTTCGCTGCGTCGTTCTCGTCGATTCCAATGGGGGCCTCCTCGCGCGAAGCTTGCGCCTCCTCGAAACCAAATTTTGTTTGCCCGTGTGCCCCTCGAAATGACCCCGTAACCATTATTAAAGGCAACGTACCACAAACGCCGCCGCCACCAGAGGGCCGCAGTCATTAATTAGCTTTTTCAGACCGTCGCTTCTGGCAATTTGCACAAACACATTGTGTTCGAAACCATTCCAAGTGGACGCGCGGGGAAACCGCCCGGGTTTGGCCGCTTTCTTCGAGCCCTCCCGGGCCGCCGCGCCCTTCCCTCAAACGTTACTCCCTCTGGCCCCTCCTCCTTTGATCTGCGAGGGCTTTGTCAGTCCCCCCTTCTCAAACACTCGTTGGCGCAGCGGCCGGCGCTGCTTCCAGACGGCCCAAGAGGCGCCCAATGCGTTCCAAAAGGCTGACCCCCCCAGGAGGCCGCGCGAAGAACTCCAGGAAAACCGCGGCACCCCGGACCCTCCGGCACTTTGTTTTTTTTCTGGCCGCTTGTCGCGAGTCTCACGGCGAGGGCTACCTGACGAAGGCCCCGTGGGCATCGAAGACGGCCCAGAAAGGCCCGAGATGCCACAGGGACGCCGCACAACAAGACGCACAGGGTAATTCACCCCGAAGCCTCCACTGATGTCTCCTTGCCGCCTCTCCACTGCCTCAAGGCGGGCGCTTCCTCCTCGCCCGCCCTCGCCCCCCTGCGCCTCCTCCTGCATATGTCTGGAAGCGCTTAGGAAAGATGGGGCGCTCCCTTCTGCCAGCCGCCGCGTCGCCCACCGCCCAGACGACCCGTTTATCGGGGCTGGGCCCCAGGGCGGCCCAGGAGAGCAACGCGCCCCAAAAGCACCATCGTGCGCGCGGGTTCGGGTTCCTCAGACGGGCCGCGCCATCTACCAGCCAGACGATCCCCCTGTCGGCCCGCGTTTGCTTCCTGCATTCGCGGCGCCCCCCAAGTGCTTGAAGCTTGCCGCCATGGCCCCCAAGCTCGACCCGAACAAGAGGGCCCGCCTCAGCGCCCAGCAGCCTGAGACGCTCGGCTCGCCCGGAAGATCGTCTGCGCCGCAGGGCCAAACGCCCCCGCGCAACCTGCGGGCTCTCAGCGCGGCGGCACAGGCCTCCATCGCCAGCTCGCCCGCGCAGCAACCAAAGCCAGACAACGCTGACGTCGTCATGACGGTGCGCAAGTGCAGCGACTGCGTTCGCGCGTTGTGGGCGGACGCTCCCGCCGGAGAGTCACTGTTTGCGATCCGGCTTGGCCATGGCGCGTGGCCGACGGTGCAGAGTCAATTGACTGGGGCGTTCGGTGACTTCCTGAAGGCGCAGCACGAGGAAGACGGGTCGTGGCCGATGAACCTGAAGCAGCTTCGCGAGGCCCAGAACGCGGTCGTCAAGATCACCAACCCCGACGACCCCAACGAGCAGACCTTTTCCATCGACGCGTGGAGCGTCGCGTTCTGGGTGTCCGGCAACGCAGACGACGTGACCAACGCTCTGCGCATGCTGGACGCCTTCGTGATGCACCGCATCGAACACCCTCGCACCTCTGACAAGAAGACGCGGCCGCCGCTGAAAAATATGCGCGTCAAGGTGTACCTCTCGAGTGGAAGCGACGTGCAGTGCGAGAGCGACGGCCACAACGTCGCGACCGAGATCTTCCGCGACGTGGCCAATCCGCCCTTCAGCCTGCTGAGCGTGGCGCCGCCCTTCGCGACGCGCATGCTTCTCGCGTCGGCGGAGATCGTGGACCGCGACCGCATCATCGTGCGTTTGGACGGACGCACCTGCCCCTGGAAGGCGCATTTCGATCGGGCCGGCGTGCCCCGCGTCGACTCCAACTTGGGGCTGCTTCCGCCGAATTTCACCGACGTGAGCGTCGGGGAAAACTGCGACAATATCATTCGCCTGTTCACGGACATACTCGGCAACGCTGCGCGCCGCCTGCCAGCGAAGTGGGCGGATGTTCCCAACGAGGGCCCCGTGGAGAAACTTCTTGTGGAAGTCGCCGCCATGCCGCACGTGTTCACGGATGTCATCAAGGTCTGGGGCACTGCTGCCCAGGAGCCAGCCCGCGGCCCGCGCGAATGCATTCTGAGACGCCCTCAGCCGGCATCGCCCACCGCCGGGCGCGCGCGCTACGATCACCCGCGCGTTGCGAGCACGCAGTGCACGCGTGCCAGCACGGCGACAGCTAACCTACACGCGCGCCAACACGAGCACCTTAGCAAACCCGCGCATGCATTCACCCGCGCGGCATTGCCGAGCCGATAGATCGGCGCAATTGTTGTTGAACCTCTCGCAACCGGCCGCGCCCCCATCAGCCTCCTGCTCCCGCCCTTCCCTGGTCTGCCAGAAGACACCCCTTTTCCGCTCCGTCCGTCCGCCGAGCGCGGGCGCCTTTATGGCCGAGAGCACGAGGTCCACGGAACGGCCCCAAGACGCCAACCGACAGAGCATCAGGAGAGCCGCTTCGCGGTGGCAACATCGTTGCTCCCCTCCCTCCCTCGACCCTCTTCCCCCTCCTCCCCTTCGCTCGCTATCGGCCTCAATCGCATCCACCCTTCGCCCTCCTTCCTCCTTCAATCCTGCCTCCATTGAGCCTCCTTCCCACGACATTCGATCCTCGACCCCCCTTCCTTCTTTCGATCGCCAGTCCTCTTCCGTCTTTCAGCAGTCTTTCGACGACGCGCCCTTTGCCCAACGACGGCTTCCAGAGATCCGGAAGCACTCCCTGGGTCCAGGTTTTCAGCTTCTCTATTTTCCTCGCGGCCCCAGGGCCCCTGGATAGATTCCGCAGTCCGAAAATACAGCGGCGGGAGAGGTGATACAAACAAATTATTGAGCGTCGCTGGCGCCGCCGCCGTCACCGCCGTCCTCGTCGCCACCGTCGCCGTTGTCATCGTCGCCGGCGACGGCGCCGCCATCGCCGTCGCCATCGTCGCCGACGACGTCGTGGATTTACGTTGGAAATACATATCCAAAGTTCGGGGGCGGGGGGATTCATCTCCGTCCTCGGCCTCTGGACGCCGTCTGCGGGCCGCAGAGGCGTCGGGAACGGATCCGGGATGAAAACACACCTCTATAGGAAGTACCCCCGTCGTCGTCGGGGCCGCGTTTTAGAATACTTGACATACAAAGCATTTGTTTTCACATGTCTCAGAGGCTGGATGGCGCAGAACATGTATGAGGGGTGTGCCGAATTGAGGCTTTCGTGTCCCTGGGGGGAAATCTCATTTTATTGTTACGGCTCCCAGGATAATCCAGGGGCGAGTGAATGCGCGAAGCCGTTCTTCGCATGCATGTTGCATGCATCTCATTATCGAAGACGCCTACGGCGAATCACCGCCGCCCCTTCCTTTAGGATACGCCTATGTGGCCAAACGTTTGGGCAAAGCTTGGGCACGCTATTGGACCATGCGTTCCCCCAACCATTGTGGAAGCCCTTCAGGGAACACGTCGGGAGTAACAGGAGGATGAGGAGAAGGAGGAGGAGCCATCTTGGGTCATCCTTGTGTCATTATTGGGGCCTCTTGGGAGCTTCTTGGGGGCCTCTTGGAGGCCTCTGGCGAGCCTCCTTGGCCCTCTTGGGGCCTTCCGGGGGGCTCCTTGGATGCCTCTCTGTGGGCCGTCTTGGGGCCCTCTTGGGGCGCTTCAGAACCATCTTGGATGCCATCTTGATCTTGAAGGCCTCTTGGGCTGTCTTGGAGCCCTTCTGGGGCCGTCTTGGGGGCCTTTTGGGCCGTCGTGGGGCCTTGGAGGCCTCTTGGGCGATCTTGGGGGCCTCTTGGGTTGTCTTGGGCCGGCGGCAGGCCGAAAAGAAGCAACTGTCCAAATCCATCAAACACCTCGGTAGTGAGATCGATTGTGGTATCGATAGTCAGATCGATTTTGAGATCGATTGAATGAAATAGATCGAGTGAGATCGATTGTGAGATCGATCGAGTGAGATCGATCGAACGAGATCGATAGTGAGATCGATAGTGAGATCGATAGTGAGACCGATCGAGTGAGACGTTGGTTCTTCCCCCCCCGAACCTCCTGATCACCCGAAGGGTGGTCGTATAGGTATATAAGTCGTTTGTTCTCTCTGTCTCTCTCTCTCTCTCCCTCTTCCTTCCTCTCCGTTTCTCTGTATTAGAGAGACTTACGCCATTCCGCCGACCCCCAGAAGAGGCGCGAGTCCACAGTTGAGGCGTCGTTGGCCTCTTGGGCTCTATTTGGGGACTCCTTGTGGGCGTCTTGAGAACTGTTTGGAGGCGTGGCCGAGCCTCTTGGAGGCACTTTTGAATCCTCTTGAGGGCCGTTTGGGAGCCTCTTTTGGGCCTCTTGGGGCAAGATGTGACTTTCAATTCGTGTTCTCCCCCTTGGCCTCTCTTCGGCCCTCTTGGGGCGACCTGTGGCCGTCTTTGCCCCCTCTTTGGGCCGTCTTGGGACCCTCCTGGGCCGTCCTGGGGCCCTCGTAGGTACCTCTTGGGTGGTTTTGGGGCGGTCTCAGGGGCCTCTTGGGCCGTCTTAGAGTGTCGGAAGCCCGACCCTAGAAATAACGGAACAAAAGCCTCAGGAGTAGTTACAATGGTTTTTTGCTTCGTGGGGACCTCTTGGAAAGGCTCTTGGGCCTCTTTTGGGGCGTATTAAAGGTGTCGTTGGCGTCTTGGAGCCATCGTGGGCGTCTTGCGCCAGTCGTTCGGCGATTCGGGACCGTCTCCTGGCACGTATTTGAGGCAACGGACGGCGGATTTGGACGCTCCAGAGCCTCTGGGAGTGCGCCGGCGAGCCCGGATACCCCTTCCCCCCTTCCTCCCTCGAACCGGATTTCGGACCCCTGGGGCCCTGGGGGAGGGGGAAAGGGGGACGGGGACCGCCAATCATCTCACACGCCTTCTCACCCCAGGCAAGCGGCAAGCGGAGGTCGGCGGATTTCCCTCTCCCTGTCTCGCCCTCTCTCTGTCTCTCTCTTTCGCTGTCTCTCCCTCCCTCTCTATTGTTGTTCGTCTCTCTCTCTCTCTCTCTCTCCCTCTTTCCACATATCTATAGTTTATGTTACCCTATATCCGTAAGGGTTTCGCCCCCTGCCGCCGGCCCCATCTCTCGGAGAATGGGCCATGGAAGAGCTAGGTCATGAGGCTTTGGCGCTGTCGTGCAGCAGTATCGGAACTTCATGCGAGGCCGATTCGCAATCGGCAAAACCAACTGATCACAAGAGGGGTTACCACACAGGGCGATTGATAAGACGTGCATGGTTTACGAGCTTGGTTACCACACCTTGGGATTAGAGGCGAGGGAGTACTCGCAGTTTGGGTTACCACGCCTTGCGATGGATGTGCGTGAGGGGTGGCACCAAATTTCAGAAATGTGGCAAATCCCCTGTGTTTTTGGACCCTGACCCCGCGGATCTGCGTGAGGGGTGGCACCGAATATCAGAAATGTGGCAAATCTCCCGTGTTTTTGGACCCTGACCCCGCGGATCTGCGTGAGGGGTGGCACCTAATATCAGAAATGTGGCAAATCTCCCGTGTTTTTGGACCCTGCCCCCGCGGATCTGCGTGAGGGGTGGCACCGAATTTCAGAAATGTGGCAAATCCCTTGTGTTTTTGGACCCTGACCCCGCGGATCTGCGTGAGGGGTGTCGATTTCGAGCCCCCCCGGCAATTCAGACAACGCGCCCAGGGGTGCTAAAAAGCCGGTTTGGGCCTCCCCCCCCTCGCGCGGTCAATCAACTAGTTACAGTAACCAGCAATAAGTCAACTAGTTACAGTAACCAGCAAGAAGCAGAACTGTAACACTGGAAACTATAACCTACGAGTGGTACAGGAAACTGCGAATCACGGGCCTACAGCCTGGTGGCCCCACAAGGGGGCCGGCGGATTGTCGCTCTGTCTCTCTCTCTCTCTCTGTCTCGTTCCCTCTCTATCGGTCTCTCTCTTCTCCCTCGCTCGCTTATCCTTGTTCTTGTCTCTCTACCAATCAGCGCAAGCGTCCTCACCTTCATCTTTCCCCTCCATGCGGTCATTTCCCCGCTGATCTAATGCATCTCTGGTCCTCCTCAATGTCCTCACCTCCCACACCGGCTCTGGTTAGTGTCACGTCTCGTCTGCTGATCACGCTGGTCGCAGCGGGTGGAATCGGGCGCGATCCGCAGACCAGAGGGGCAACGTAGGGCGTGAGCAGCAGGGTGCCAAAAACGTCATTCCCGCGGCCGTCATTGTTGCTACGCTGCGCCATCCCCCTGTGCAGGATTGACTGGGCCACAGTAGGGGGTGGCGCGGATTGCTGGGGCTCTCTCGTCGGGCAGTCCAGGGCTCCAGAAAATATTGACTCACGCACGCTTGTTGTGCCTAATTCTCGCTGGCGGTGTTGGACCTTCAGGGTAGCAGGATCCTCTCCACTCTGATTGTTCTTATTGGTACCGCCTCGTGGACAGCGTGTGACCACTGAAACAAGCCAGCATAATCAGACATTCGCGCATCAGTAAACGTGATCGATGCGCAATCATATGTTTGACCTGCCTTCGAGCTTCGATGCCTCTGGTGGGTCGAAGCAGGTTCCTTGCCTCTCCGGCCCCAGCACGCCAGAATGCGACAAACGCATGCTGGTCAAGGTTCGTTTCGAGGGGGCGACGAGCTGCAACCAACGAGGCGTCGCAGTTGACGAGGATCCCCCTCAGACCACGGCCTGTCAGCCCAGGGATCAGCTGGGAGGGAGGGAGGAAGAGAGGGGGGAGAGGAGGAGGGGGAGCCAGAGTAGGAGCTGGCGCGCACGTTCGGGGAGGGGAGCTGGGAGGAGGAAAAGCTGGAGGAGGAGGCGGAGGAGGAGGAGGAGGAGGAGGAGGAGGGGGGGGGGGCGCGAGGAGGTGGAGGTGGAGCAGGAGGATGAGGAAGATGAAGAGGGGGGGGACGGGGCGAGGCGGGCCCGTGCCTTACACACAAACACACGCACGCACGCACGCACGCACGCACGCACGCACGCACGCACGCACGCACGCACGCACGCACGCACGCACGCACGCACGCACGCACGCACGCACGCACGCACGCACGCACGCACACACACACACACACACACACACACACACACACACACACACACACACACACACACACACACACACACACACATACACACACACTCCTACACACGCGGAGGTGCGACTCACGAGCCCGCTCGCCGTCGTCCCCGACAAGCGCCCAGGAGGCGC